AACACGACGTTATAATGGTGTTCAATAATTTTTAATTTAAATATTAAAATTAATATTGGTAGGTCAAACAATAACATAGGTAAAAATAATATTTCATACATGGACACAAAGAGCCACGATTCGGAAATAATTCTGTTTAACACAATTATAATTTTGTTCTTTAGCCTTCAATTTAATCATCTGAGTCCTTCACGGTAGTGGATATTCTTTATAGATAAGAGCATTTAGTGTAAAATACTAAACTATGACAAATTTAATATTAAAAAAAACATCAAAGTTTAACAAGAAGAATATATTATTATCATACATATTATATTTTTATACCGCGCATATGCAGTGAAGGGAAGTCAGTCAATAAATGAATAGGTGAAAAGCTAAAAATTATTAAAATCTGAATCAATTAAAAACTTCTAATTAGGAGTAAAAAATTATTTATAAAAATAATGCAACAACGATATTTTACTATAAGTAGTTAAATATAGGTATTGTATGTTATATAATAATGTGTGTTGAACACGGCCGGGAGGAGGTGGACAATTTCGGGGCCTGTGCTAACATTACAGTGTTTCATAATATTATAATAATAAACTGTAATAAATTATTTCAAAAATGAAAATAAATCAAAACTAATATGCAGGGTGCGCCTATACTATGTGTTTAGAGTTTTAGACATAACTGCATAATATTATAGGTAGGTACAGTTTATGAACATTTTAATGATATAACGCAAAAAACGACCCCATGTGTCGATTGAAATTTCGAAAAGAGAAATAAAACGGCATAACTATAGCTGTAACAGATGTATATAAATATATAAATTATTAAGTTGCAGCATCCGTGGTCTAAAAATAATCGGCCGGTTTTACATATTATTATGAAAACGAATACGCGTATCCAGCTATACCATAATGCATATAGTGTAAAATAAATCTTACTACTTTCATCGGCGAATAGTTACATAAAAAACAGCTATTTTTAATGCTGCATAATTATAATGTAGAGATGCAGTGTTGTATTTTTTTTTACTCTTGGGCCCGTTTTTTAATGTCTCATTGCAACCGGCGTTTGTATATAATTCAATAATGCAGACTTTTACAAAACGGAGGTAATAACAATATTATAAACCACATTTTATAATGTAGTAAGTTAGGCGTATTAAACCATTGGTGTTATTTAACAGACTTGCCAGACTGGACTTGCACGTTCTAAGCGTGTTATGTATCTCACCGGCTATATACCTATATAGGTACGTATAATATTACATATTATATATGCTATCAATCAATCATATGTTTACTCATTCTAATCCTATGCCGATGGAGGGAAGGTCAAGTCGTGACAGTACTTATATTATTACATTATATAGTCGGTTCGCTTAGGTCAGAAACGAATTTAACTTCTTTTTTTTTCAATACAATTATCTTTTTTAACAACTATATACGGATAAACTATACGTTATTAACTTATATTAATTTATCGGGAAAATAATATATTATTATACTTACGTTCATGAGGATTAAACCACGAGCTACTCAACAATGACTGTTACAAAAATAACTATTAAAATTCGTATTCTCACATTTTCTTAATTGTTTACTCGTTTACTGTGTATATACATGACTACAGTTTTGTCATTTAAATAAATATATTTTTAAACAGAAATATTAAGTTTGCTTCAGCTACACTGTTGTATGTGTTATTGACTAAATTATTTTCTTAATTGTTTAACGTAACTATTTCCGTCTGTACTCAGAGACATGATGTATTAATATTATAATATTTTATATATATATATTAATTTTTAAGTACCTACTCAAGTACTAAAGTTTCTTGACAATGGTTATGGAAAATATGAAGGTAAAATAAGTATAACAACTAGGATACTTAAAGAAATAAAATTAAAATTATAAATGCAATGATATTAATACCCATACTATTAAATTTAGAAAATTAATATATCAGGATCGATATTTGTATGTTTTTTCAGTCTTAATAGTTATACACATTAATATGAAATTTTCGATTATGATAATAGTTCTTTAGATTTTTTTCACACCTACAGCTAGCAAATTTTTGTATTCTTTATTGAAATAAATTTATTATTAAGCGTTAGGTACGAATTTTAAAACGATTTTTTTTTTTACAAAACGTAATAATACACTCGTAGACTAGATTAACCGTAATATTTAATTATTTACAGCATAATATAATATTATTCTAACAGCCGGACCCTTGAGTTGTACAGAGTCTCTTTAATTGCATTATTTAACGTACCTACGTGCTCTCGCATGTAGTCACTTTATAGTTTAATTGAATCAATTGTGCGAATTCAAGGTCCCTTTCTTGAGCATTTTTTTAGTCATATTTGGATCTATAAAAAATATAAATATTTATGTTGAATATAATATTCGATTTTGTTTGTACTTGACGCCGAGTTTTACTTTTCTAGATATTAAAATATAATTTTAGTCATATCGAAAAATGATATGATGGTGATGATGATGATGTAGGTATTCACGAAATCATGCCACAACATCTGACTTGGATCATATCAAGACCGGGTTAGGTAACTAATTGCATGTTATTTTGTTCGTCATAATCATCAGTTCCTAAGACACTGCAGTATTTAAATAGGACGGTTATTAAAAGCTGTTAAGGTCGCATCCTTCCTTCGGTTTTATTGCTATTTCAGTATACAATCAGTATAGAAATTGCCCCTTCGCTTGTCATATTATTATTATAATTGTAATTATTATTATGAGATCTTCTCCTAAAATATATCGCCCCATTTGCGTATCTCCACCGCGGTAGAAGTCCATTAATAAATTATCGATCTTGCCATTTTGTATACCAACAACATTTTATTGTCCTTCCGTGCTCGGTATATATTATGTAGGTACCCATAGACTGTCCCGAGTTATCTGCAACATGTCTTCATTCTTTTTCGCGACAAAGGCGTTCAGATAGTATAGTTGCAGGTCGCAATAACAATACACACAGCCAATTATCTATTCCACGTTCGAACTTAACGTCGTGTACAACGCCACCTACGCCTTATTATTCAGTGGAACTCGCCGATAAATGTAATTATTATACGATTCGTAGTTAATCTAATATCGATCCACATGTCCGTCTCCTCCGCACAGTATATGTACACTATATTTTAATCGTTAACTGCGAGCGAATGGAATAATTTAATTTATTTCAGTGGTAAAGTCGGTTTGCAATTATATTATATTACTTACTCGTTATTATTATTATTATTATTAGTTAAATCCGTATCGATGTCTGTGGCGATAATTTTTCCACGCTTAGCACTAAAATATGCCTGGTCGATGTATAACAATAATGTTGTCGCATTATCTGTGAGCAGAAACTCGGCAGTATAGGTTGAATTTTCTATACAACAGGTAGGTATATTATTACAGCGAGACTGAACATTTTATATTGTATTATTATGTACTCGCAGGATAAAATAGTTTATAACTGAAAAATAAATAAATAAATCCCATGGTAAATACCAGCTAAACCACGTATAGAATAATACGTGATCGAGTTATGTTTATTGTGAAATTTAAAACATTTTCGGTTCGGTTGGAATTTTTTAAGCATACACACATATTATACGATATTTTATTGGTAATATACTATTGTACTTTTTTACAACAGTTATGAGACTATGTTACTTTGTAGATATATTTCTGGATAAAAAATAACCAATAAATAAAATATCAAGCTAGTTTTTTTTATTGGCTGTACACAATACGAAATATTAATTTCAAGGTATTCCCGTATTTTAATAGAAACGCGAAACCAATGACGCATACATTGTTGTTTTGGTTTAGGTAAATATTATCAATAAATATTACTTTAAATGTTTCCGACGAAAAAATAAAATTTCAGCTAGTATGAATAAATTAAAACCAAATCGTAAACATCTTTAAGTTTGAAACTGTATAGGGTTACTCTAATATTAAGTACCTAGGTATTCAATGGATATATTATATTGCTTACCTATTAATTGTCTATTTGATTTTGATGGCTTATAATTTATAAACAAATATTATAATATTTTATGTTTTGGTTGTAAAGTATAATATTTAAATACCTATTAAACGTTCTTCATTCATTCATTATTATATAGTTGGTACTTTATTTGCACTTCATAAATCATTTAATGTGTACAACTTCTATTATTATATTTTGGTAAAACATATAATATAGATAAATAATTTTAGGTATAGGTACGTAGTTTTTTTATTACTTGGAGTATATTATTTATTACTTTACTTATACATTATTTATGTAAACACTGACAGTCGAGACGCAGCATGATCAAAGCATTGTATAATAATATTATGTTTAGTACGTTTGGTTTTAAAAATGTTATGAACATATAACAACTTAATATTTTAAACAACACTTAGGTTTGGTCCGCTATAGGCGATAAACATTATAAGAGAGAAAATCACACTTAACAGAAATGTATAAATAAATATTATGTTTCATATACAATACTCAAAACAATGAATTACATTTTTTTTTTAGTTTTGAGTTTTTAACTTTAAATTATATTTTTGACTCTTTAGAAGTTCAATTTTTGTATTTTACAAATTCAGTTATTTATTTACATCATGTCCAAGTACTTGGGATAACACAATTAATATTTTACCTTTTAAAGCTTACGAGCGAATTTCTTAATATATTTTATCATTAATACTGTTTATGTACCCAAATTACGATACATAAATATAAACATGGAGGCACTGTTCATGAATAATATGATAGTTAAAACATTTTTGTCAAGCATACACCATATTTTCTAAATCACAAAAATTTATTTTATCGATAATTTTTTACCATTATTAATATTATTGTACAAAAACATGTTATTATACTTATTTTCAGATCTCAATGGTACATTTAATTTTAATCAAAATGTGTTTATATAGAGTGGTTTAAACAGTTGCACATCCGCGAGATGGAATACAACCTGTTTGTTAGTTCTTTTCGAGATCCGATTGAATCATAGCTAGAGATCGATTTTTGGTCTCCGGTACGCAATTCACGACGAACAACATACCCATAAAGCAGAACCCTGAGTACACGAAAAACGTACCACTTGGGCCGATAAATTTGTCCATAGGTTCGGCCAGACAAGTTACCAACCAGACCAATATCCAATTGGTGGCGATTGACATGCCCGTGCCCATCGACTTGAGCTACAAAAACGTCAACATAAATATTTATTAGCTATAATATTACCTATATGAGCATTTTAAATCATAAATTTCTTGTGCATTTTCTTTTTCAAAACCATTTCCATTTCTTCGTTTACGATTTATGGTATAATATTAGGTACTATAATGCTTGTAATAATGGCAAACGTACACGGCGAAATGTGTGCGAGTTACCGTTAGTATAAAATGTTGCAAAAAAATATTATACGACTAACTTCTGATGAGAATATTTCCCCAATGATTATGTACGGTATGGGACCGCAACCGATGGAAAACATGGATATGTAAAACACTATTGCCACCAGTGGTAACCAGTCCAGCGTTTCAGCCACGTGGGGGTTGTATTTTTTTGAAAAAAAATAATACGACAGAGCCAGTAAACAGATGCCCATCAAAGTCATCGAGTACACCATTAATGATCGTCTGCCAAACTTGTCCGTGATCATCATAGACGCGAATGTCATTGCCACCTATAACAATAATACATCGTTATTGGGAATATTGTAATATTAATATAAAAATCTATATCGTCATATTTATCGTAAGTCTCATTGATGGATGACTTCTCACGCATTGAGCATTTCATGTAAATATTGTATTTGTTACTGTTCAGTATTCAGTAACGTGTTCATAAATACATAATATGTATGTAATTCTTCCCTCACCACACATACTCATATTGTGCCCTATAGTAATAGATTGAATATATCAAATAAGGAAATAAATTGCTAAAAACGTTACATATTATCATACCAGTAGTGCAATTATTATGGGGAGGGTTGACATATTATATCCCCTATAGCCATTTTGATTTTAAATAATATTTTGACCCTTAATGCAACTTATTCACATTTCATATATACCCACAGACATGCACTGATCAGCTACTTAAATAAATTAGGACTATTTACTAGGCGAATTAATTTTATTCTTTAGTCAATATATTATATACAAATGGAAGTTATATGGTATGACAGCATTATTTAAGAAATAATAAACTTAATAAATACATCAAATTTCTTATATTAAAAATTTAACAGTACATGTTAAGTATGCTAAATGCTTTGAACAACATTCATAGGTGTATCATTGTTATTAATTAATTTCATTCTGGCTAAGGAATCTACTTAATGCTCCACCTTCTGTCTCCAGCCTTTCCATTCAGCAAGATCTCAGGATGAACTCCGTCAGAGATGAAGCAAAACTCTACTATAAGCGGTTTTACAGTAGGTTACTTAATCATCCTATCCCTCTTGTAAAAAATTTAGCAGTCCCTTCGATTCCGGGTAACCCCGTCAGAATTTTTAAACGTAATTGGTGTCGTGACCTGCTAGATGCTTGAATCCTAGATCAAATCCTCCTACTAAACTCTAAACAAAATTGGTAGTGTCATTATTGGGTGGCTTCTTCCGTCATATTGCTCATGTTTTTTTTACTCTTATCTAATTTGATTATTGTTCTTTGAATAGATTGTAAACATCTTGTAAAAATAAAAAAAAAATTTCATTCTCTATGGAAAATAAAGTGGCGTAGTCATAAGGCTTAGGGTCCTCCTAGAAATTTCCGGAAAATGTAAATATACTTTCAATGTTCTGTGAACACTGAACATATTAACTTAATACGTATTCATTTAATACAATTATAATTCATAGGTATGTAAATAGCTACAAAAACTAATAATATATTATATACCAAGACGAAATTCTGGACACACCACTGAGTATATTATGCTAAAAGTTTTAAGTCACTACAATTAATACTTATTATTTTTTGAATTAGGTACAATAAAATAAGTAAAATCGTTATTTTCGTTTAAGTATATAATTTTGTCAAAATAAAACTTCAAACACTTATAAAGAAAATTGTGACAATGTATTTTCAATGCTTTTAAATATCTATAATTTAAGGAAAACTTATGAGGAATCGTTTATTTACATTTTCCAGCTTGCCGATAAAAAAATTAATAAATATCAATCGTAAAAAAACTATAAATATTTTGAAAATTATTTTATATCTGGAAAATGCTAGTATAAATATTTTGTCAATCTTCAAATTTAAATTACAACGAAGAACAAAATCAATTCTAAAACTGGTGTTCCGTAAGTAAATATGCCCAATTATTTAAAAAAAATACTTTTTAATTTTTTTTAATTTTTTACTTTTGGCTCCCAAAGTATCAATTTGATTCAAAAATTATAATTTGTTATCATTGAATTTCTAGTTTATAATACTAAACGAATGGATGATTTATAAAATTAGATGATCAATAAGAGGGGGGCGTAGAGTAAGAACAAGACTAGTGTAAAAACTTATTCTACCTTAGAATAAATTTCTATATTATAACAATATAAAAAAAAAATTATAAGAAATATATATAAAGTAAATAGTTTTATCGATTTTACTTATCTTTGAAAATATTCTTGTACCTATTATTCATTGTTTCTAGTCGTTTTATAGAACAATAAAACTTTTATACGCATTTGTCGTTGGAGTTTAAAATTGCTCTGGCCTGGATTTAAAATTACATAATGATACTATAAGCCATTTTAGCGAGAAAAAAATGTACATCATTTTAAAAATATAACAGACACCTTGATAAACTGATAGCTATATAAATAACTAGTATCATTTTTAAATGTTATAATTTCTTAAAAAAAAAAAAAAAAAATAGTTATTACCTATATTGTGATAATAAGTAGTTACAATCAAATTTAAGGTAAAAGTGAACGATTCAAAAAATAAACTATCACGTTTTCGTGTTTGATAAAAACGTGGTTTTTTTTGCATTCAATCGTCATCTTCTAATATTCGAATAAACAAGAATACCAACAAGAATCATAAATAGAAACAATATTTTCAAATGTCAGTCATGATATAAAATGGTCGACATTGTAACAGACGGTAATACTTAATGTTCAATAATTGTAGACTAACCCGCTAGTATTTGATAATGATTTTATTTTAACATTTTAATTATAGTAGGTACACCAAAGGAAATTAAAACAGTTTATATATTGTTATACAAATTTACTTATTGTTATATTTTATTATTGACCAGATTTTAAATTGCCTTGTTTCAAAAAAAAAAAAAAAAATTATTAAGATTAATAAATCACCCAATAGTTCTCACATAGATAATATTATACAGAGTGGGTAATTGTGTTTTAAGTTTTTCTAACTAATATTGTGGTGACCATCAATACGTTATAATTTGGGATGGCCGTCAACAATAACCAGTTAAGTTTTGAAATAAATTCTCGAATCATAATATTTTAGCACAACGTATGTTATTGTTATATGTATTAGTTTATTTACGTCTCTCCATGATCGAGCTGTACAATTATATACTCCTATACTAATTTATTAGCATTTTTTCTTTTTAATAATATGCACTTTTGCATGAACAATAATGCGTTGAATAATTATTTAGCACCACAGTATATTACAATTAAAACCACAATGTTTAAAAACAATATAAATATAATAGCTTTATGAAATAACGTAGTTTAATTTGAACGTCAATAATGAAGGTACAATTATAATATAATGTATTAGGTACGTATTAGATTACATTTTACTGAGCACACTTCAGTTTTTATAATAAATAATTTGTATTATTAATTTTCGAGATCGAATGTCGAAGTTGACCATGGATAACAAATAATATTATTATCGTGAGGTATCAGTAGTACTTACACGGAATAAGTACCTATTTGAAATATTAATATCGCTATGTGGCTGTAAGCCAATATTATACGTTTCACAATACGTTTCACAGTAAGTTCAAAACATCTATGTACTTAAATTGCCTACACAATACGCCGTGTGACCTACAGAACAAAAGCGGCATTATTATTATTTCGAACGATTGTTTCAGACAATAAGTGCATACAACTACAACAACTATACATTTGCCTATAAAACGTGTTATTTCTCGATTTTACATTTTGTTCTTTAACATACAGCGTTTGATGTCTTCAGTGGTGGCCTAAAAAATACAGTCGAAAAACTAGTAATAAGTATTCTCTTTTTCTATACACTTAAATTGAAACAAAATTATTTACAGTGTATTATAATATCAAGTAAACTCAATCGAAAAATAGGCAATGATGGAAACTCTAGTAGTAGGTTGGGAGGAAGTGAGGGGCTAAGGTTCTGGAATCGTCAACTATAATAGTTGAAATAGATTTATGACGTTAATCGACGTCATGATTATATCGTTAATATCACGTTAAAATAAGAGTTAAGTAGTAACAGCTAACAATATTCAATATTGTACTATGATGTTATTTTTTTTAAATTTTTAAAATTTTTATTATCTGACCCTCGGAAACTTAGGCCATTGGGAGACTATGATATTATGTACCTGTATTGTCCCCACGACGGTCGTGCACACTTCGGGGCTGATGTCACTTCCCGAAATCTCGAACACGTGTTTCATATAGAATATGATGGCGTTGATGCCGGTCATCTGCTGGAAAAACATGCAACCGATGCCGATCGTCAGCGCCCTCCGATTCACGTCCTTCTCGAGCACCTCGCGTGCCGTGTAACTGTTCTTCTGCTCTTCTTCGATGAATTTCTGCGTTACACATAATAATCACAATTCAAATCGAACTCATTTTAGAGGACACAAACGCTCGGTAGAGTTAAGCACATTTAGGTATACTGTCGGATAAACGCAAGTGAAACAGACACGTACACTCAGGTTATATAATATATTGTAATACAATGAATGGTCTTACCTGTATCTCGTCGAGCTCGGACTTGCAGTCGTGACTGGGGTCCCGTAGCCGGGCCATCGCCTCTTCGGCGCCAACTCTTTTGTTCTCCTGAATCAGGAAATATGGCGATTCCGGTATGTACAGCACACCCAGTATGTGGATCACCATCCATACTCCACACGCCAAGTTGAGTTGGTTATAATTCAAAAAGTTGCCGAGCACGTACGAGTACAAGATGCCGGATACGACAAACAACTGATACAAACCGCCGAGGAACCCTATAAAGGACCCAAGCGTTATGTGGGCAAGAAACGAACGTAAGTATACGGTTTCCAAACAATCGACAAAATGTTAATGTAGGTTTTGATAGGTAGTAAAAAATAAAAATTAGTGAAAAAATTCAAAACTCTGGACATTACACATTAAGTATTATATTCCGGATTTACAAAAACATGCACGACTTTTCACGATCCCCACTGTAAGTTTAAATCTGTTTGGCATATATCATATTTTTTGGTTATTGTTTGAATAAAATATCGTTATTATTAAATAAGAATTATTAAAAACTCAGATCATCCTTTGATAAACACGATATTATTATTTATATATAGTCAATTATTTTTCTTGTATTGCCTATATATTATGTATCTTTAACCATTTTATAGTATTATTTTTCATCAAATTCAATTATTAATACTTACATAGTTATTATATCAGTTACCTATTACTTATTTTCAAACTAAAATTTATTAATCAGCCATTTTGTTTTACACTTTTACAGAAGTGTTTTGTATATATAAATACAATATGCGGCAATAACTGTTACATCCGAGTGCACATTAAACTTTTTTATTTCATCAGTGCATAACATAATATAAATATTATTTAGACTAGGTACCGCGATATCGTCGGAGAAATCCGGCATAAAATAATATTATATTGTGAACAAAATGTTATTATTAGGCGGAAATTTTTTCGTCCTGGTTGATTCGTCTGCGGAGATAAGTACATTACGTATAATGTTTTGTAGGTCCGAAAACCAATTTATTACCAATATAAACATATAGCATATAATATTAATAACAAAAAGGTGGGGATAAAAACCTCGGATCTCAGGTTCGGCTATCTCGCCGACGTACATGGGTATTATGGTACACATGGCACCGCACCCGACGCCCTGCAGTATCCGACCCACGTACAACATCCTCGCAGCCTTCGGGAAAGCGATCATCAGCCACCCGAAGACCACGTGCGCCTCGCTGACGATGAGCGACACTCGCCGACCGAACACGGACGACACGGCACCAGCCGGAACCGCACCAATCACGGCGCCCACCCCAAACAGCGAACACGCGGTCGCAGCGGCCATGGCCGACACCTCGAAGCTAACAGCGGTCCCTTTCTCAAACATCGTCAGAGTTGGCGAGGACCATCCGAGCACTGTTCCGATGACGAACGCTCCCAGAGACGCTGCAACATCGAAATCCATGTTTACAATATGTACATGACGTGCGTAAGTTGTGTGAATAATATCAGAAAATAATATAACGTAGGGCAAGTTTGTTTTATACATAAATAATCACCAATATAGGCGCCATTAAGATTGATTTTGGGTCACTTGTGGTGGATACCGAGGGGTACTGGGTAATATTATGTGGGCGTAACTTGAAAGATTAGCTAATTTTGTAATTTTGGTAAACATGATTGCAGATATCATAAATATTGTTTAAATTATTTTTTATATGGGTACATAATGAATTGAAACTTAATGGGAATATCTAAATTATTTATAAAAGTATAATTGGAGTGAGTTGATATGGACGTTTTGACGACAAGGTGAAATATTAACTAGGTTATACCAATATTTTCAGAGATACACAGTTGATATAAAGACTCTATTCATCATTATACCTACATGCGTGTTATTCCGTAAAATGCGGATATATAGTTACTATATTACAAAGTTGTGGACAGTTAGATAATTTCACTTGACAACTATTCATCCACTGAACCCCTACAATTATTATTGTTTGATATTTCGTTTGTATGTATACAGATTACAGACATGTAGTTAACAGTTAACACTATCGATATAATATAATAATGTCGTTTATTCGAGTTTTAAATCAATTTTAGTACGTTTTGTTTGTCGTATATACTCGAATAGGACGTTTCATTACTGCTCTTTTTAGTCTATGGATTATTGACTATTGTGCTATGATTTTGGTACACAAACCAACTGTCTATAATAGTTGAAAACCGGCAGATTTATAATACGTTAAAATTATTAGGTTTATTCCAACAATTTTGTTTATCTGAACATCAAACGTATTCGACGTTAAATTTATTAAAAATGTAAAAAATAATGTTAATTTTCTAGATGCACACCTGTACAAGGTTTTAGTCATTTAAATTACCGTCAACGGTTTAGTTCGATTATTAAAACTAATATGAAACACTGAAATGTCGCAGTGGCGTATCTGAAGGGCAGTGTTGAGACTTAACTAGATAAAAAATTACTCATCTATTATCTTATCTAGATAACTATTGTGCCATTTATCTATTGGTTATGTTAGATGACACATTTACTTATCTATAGATAAATTTATTTAAATCATAATATTCATTATTCACGAATTATTCATACATTCTTCATTTTTTTTACTAAAATTGTTCTTACAGAACACTATCCAATCTGCAATCACTACATGTTATTAATATAATATTTAAACGTTATACTCATAATATTAACAGCAAATTTTAAGTTGATACGTACTTTGAGGATTGAGACATTATTTTATGAAGTTTTTCGACAAAATAAATTGTGTGACTAATTGCACATTTGCAATTTAAAAATACTAAAAAAAAATGTTATCTATAATATTATATAGATAAAGGTTAGATTATCTTTATCTTATCTAGATAAATGTAAAATATATTTATCTTTATCTATATCTATATAATTTTTTATAAAATCATCTGTATCTTATCTTGATAAAATTTTCTTTTTTATCTATTCTCAACACTGCTGAAGGGTGGTATGATGCTGGTGATTCGTTTTCCCTCTCGAAAGTTATCGGATACCTACTTGAAATTGGTAAAAAAAAAAGTTCTATCCAAGCCATAATCTTCTCCATATTGAAATTGTAATCGTCCCCTTCTATTTGGCGAAACTTCAAACTTACCATTGCCTTGTCATTTTTTTATTTATTAATAGTTGATTTGAAATGAAATTTTTTTATCGAGCGCATACCTATATAATATGCATATCTCATACGAATCGCATTATTTTATGTGCTATGCGCGTTGAGGAAGACCATGATATCGTGATCATTATTATTTAAAAATGTTTTTCGATGTCACAAATACACTGCGTAAATGCGTAATTGTGTCTATTATATTATTACCTAGTAACATTTGAGTAGAGTGATATGCAAACGAATTTGGAAGTCTGACAACAACAATATTTTATTTTATACTTTATTATTTATTAATTTTCATTTCAACGTATATGACTGTCATGCCTTGAACTAATTACGATAGATTAATTCATAATAATAATAATAGTATTATTATTACAATCTCGTGACGTTTATTAAACTATATAAATCGGACAAGGAGAAAAAATGACATTGCGTAGTCCAGGAGCACCAATCGACTCGAATAACAATTATTAATCAATAATATATTAATATGGAATGGATTATAATCTGGAACTCATTGCTATAGGTACATCTCGGATTCGAGACACATATATATGTATTGGTGTATAATCTATATTAATCTATATAAATTGGTGCGATTTCGTTCGATCAATAATACTATTTTCCGGCTAGCTGGTACATGATATTATTATAATACTAGTTTAAACATATTATTATTATGTTAATAGATTGTTGGTACGTACCTGATAACGCGAAAACAATCTGAGGTATTTTATCATTTACTACACTGAACATAATTCCGACAGATTATCGAGATTGCGAAGGTACGGTTTAGATAAACACGGTATACATTCGCACCGACTTCCCAAGACTAGTCGGTGATTAAATTTTATCTGTGTCTTGTGCGTCGGCTTCTTAAAATATTCAAAATAATTATTGTTTGCGTAATTTGGCTATTATTGTTTTAGTATGCCTAATATGTTTTCAAGGTGCAACCTTTATATTATATCCGTTTGACAGATGAATGTTTTACAGTTTGTTCTATTGACATACGTTTGAAAAACATAAACAACTGTCCGTAATCTAATACCCATATTATATATAAGTACCTACTTCTTACTACACGCTCGTCGTTCTTGATGCGAGCTTATGACCACCATATTATAATGACACAGTGAATAATACATAATAATATAAAATATTATTTATTATTACTGAACGTCGTATACCTTTTATGAATGTAATATTATTTTCAAACGACCTTTTTACCATCGACCCGCAATGTGCACGTTTTATATTATTATAATCTTGTTTTAAATAATGGCCCTCGCATATTGTCCCGACGACAATGAAGCATAACCGAAAGTCCTACTGCCAATTGGCCACGACTAGCGGTATGATAATAATACGTAAAGTAGCTGTGGTATCTGTTACGATTATTAAAGCACTCTGATTGTTTGAGGTTGAATAGGTGATGACTTGACGAGACTAGACGATTCATACGTATATTTGCGTTGAATTCTGAGAGAATACAATAAACAATAATCAATATATTAAGATGTAAAATAATAATAAAATGGTTATGCTATAGTTGTTAAAAAAACTAGTATCTGTTCTTATGGTTCAATACCGGTTGCATATGCCATATTGTTGAATAACCATTGAATACATACATATTATGTTAAATACTTTATTTATTATGTGATAAATTGAATTTCAGTACCTATGTTAGGTATATATCACAGTTTGTAAGTACGATTCATAATATTATTTTAAATTAAAGTAGGTTAGGTTAACCTAACCTATAAATTACAATTAACGAAAAATGCAAACGCTTAAACTGTTGTAGGTATGTATTTAACAATATTATGCAACATTGCATGAATAATAATTGTGAACGATTCTTTTACAAAACAAATCTATAGTTATACTACTCGACAAATAATAATATCCATGCAATGAAATTGTTAAAATAATATAATAGCAATGTAATTTTCAAAAGACAACTCTATAGTCAATGATTATTAATACTCAACTGAAACTGGTCTAAAACTATAATTGGTACAGTAGCTAATACGTTTCGCCGTCTGGGAGTGTGTTCTAAGTAAAACTTGTCAGTGAAGCGTGTTAATGTCAAAATTAAAGCTAAATATATTTTTACTCTCAATACAAAAGTGAAATATCTTATTATACCCTAATCATCTAGTCTTAGTGATAGATATCATTAATTTAACTAAAATGTTGACAGTCTTGGATTAGAAATTTGAAGGTAATATATTGTAGCTCATTTTTTTTGCAACACCATATTTTCATTAATAACAAAAACGTAATAATGTTCGAATTAAATTGCTACTAATCTAAATATTAATATAACACAAGTAATAAGATATTTTTTCAAAATAATTAAATATAATACCTAATTAATAACTAATAGTAACATCTTGTGTACATAGTTTATTAAAAAAAAAGATGTACTTATATAGTTTTTTTACTGCTCATCTAGACTTTCGTCGCGGTTAACCGTTGTTTCAGGCCACGCAACCAAGTCGTTCAAACTAAGTTTATGGAATGAGTAAAGTATTTTAGTCGTGATTGAATTGATTACATAAACTCTTGACGTGATATATTATATACCATCGGTAATGATTGCATTTATTATGGTACAACGTCGTAATCGTAGTAATAATAAAGTATAAGAATAGTATTATGAGTGTTATATGGTTACGACATACCTATATATACGTTCCAAGTCATACGCACAGTCTTTGACAATAGTTCCCTTGCTTTAATGTATCACCTTCAAAACCAATGACCGTTAATTTTATCTATGTCATTAATTTGTACGGCTAATTTTGCCATAAATTCACCATAGTCTCACCAATGTATAAAGTAAATGATAATAATATATATATGACCAAAGTATTCAATATAGAATAATATTATGTACACTATATTGTATAGGGTGTGTCGTGTGCGTAATTGCAGTACGTGATAATTTGTATTCATTTTACAATGAAAAATGTAAAATTCGATAAAATATATCCACGAAGACATATTATGTTTTGGAAGACCTGTTTTTATCAAATGTTCACATCGCTCCAGTCGTGCAAAAATCAACTTCTTTTCATATGTATGAACCACAATTTTAAAACTGGATATTACTAGTGAGTAGTGGTAAAGTATGTACCGTAAGAGCGGGATACTTTGCTCCAAATATATTTCTTTTTTAGTTTGAACCTATACTATAGCTTCAATAACAAAGATAAAAATTACCTGTTCGCGTTGTTTTATATGTATAGATGTTAAGAGGTAAGAACATATCAAAAAAATCCGAATGTCGTACTAGTGACTTACTTACTTATTCCCAAAAGTTTGGAGCAAAGTTAAAATACATTGCAGGTTACATTGCACAATGATTAAAATTACCTTACTTTAATGCATATAATAACTATTGGTGCAATGTTTAGTGCTTGTGTTTTAACTTATTTAAACCTATACTTAATATAATTTAATAATATATTTTTTTTTTTTTTTTAGTTGATTAAAAGTCTTTTTTCAATACATTTTAAATTAAATTTCAATCCCCTAGATTTTGGATAACTTTTCCGTTATGTATTTTTGTGTTTTTGAAAACCATTTTTTACATGATATACATCTTGGAAGAAAAATAATATATTCATGTCCGTAATGTTTGAAAAAATTAGTAATGTTAATAAGAATAATATAAAAAAAACTACAATCTCTGATCTCAAAATCGTAATGTGCTACGATTGATATCAATAAAAATTTTTTTTGGAGCAATGTTTAACCCCTGGAGTAAAGTATCCCGCTCTTACGGTACTTAATATTTTTATAGTTTCAGTGGTTACTGGTTAAATCATACCGATTACCATTAACCGGGAGACAGTAGTAGCCGTACGACAGTTTAAAAGGTTGGTTAATTGAAATAACTGTACTGACTAAATACCCATTTTGAAATATAAATCAGAAATCCAACATATTTTATGTACAGGGTGATTCACCAGGCATGCTCAGTGCTCACTCCATTTATTTTTATTAATTTCAACTTACTATACCTAGTGATTATTATTGATAATTCATTATTATATTATATTATTTTAAATTGATGTAAAAAAATATATAAATATAGTATTATATACTAGCTGATCCCGTGCACTTCGTTGCCCGTTATAAGTGCCAACTATATAATATGGTTAAAACTTGGTTCAATTCGTTATTTGATATTCGTTGCTTATGGTGTTCAAAACTTAAAAATTTTCATCGATCATCTTGAATCTCAAAATACTTGTGCAAGCACCACTTTAAATTGCTAATTTCGGAAGAATAGATGCTTTCTTAGCACACACTTAAATTGTGGTACCGTGAAAATTACGGGGCTCAAGCTGTCATTATTTAGGCTCACTCAGTGAATCAGTCAGGCACTTCGATTATATTATATTATAGCTATCCCACCCTGCTTTGCCCGCGAGACATGATTTTGATGATGCCAGCAGTATATTTTCTGGTATACAATCCACCTATCGTATGAGGTACGTAATTATTAATATCTTATTAACACGTTGTTTATGATGTGCATGTGTAGGTTCTCGGGAAAACAGTTAAAAAATTAGCGTTAGGAATACCATTTTTCTTAAGTTATATGGTTTTGACCCAATATAATATACAGTACTAAAATTATATTCAATCATTACCAATTGTAACTTTACAATAAACAAAAATATATTGTTATTTAATTTATTTTATTTGCTGGATAGCTGGCTTTACTGTTGCTGAACACAACAGAAAAAAAAATCAGTGAAATTGGTAAAGGTGTTCTCAAGTTATGGCTTGATGAAGAAAAATAGGGATTTATTTAAGTATATATAGATATAATAAATGTGTACATAAATAATGTGCCTTCCTGTTATCAATTTCATTTCAGCTAAAAAAACCAGTGGAGCTTACATTGTTTTCCGGTAGTAAAAAAGCGTGGGTGGAATTAACAAGAAATAAGGTTTAAAAAGGTCGCAATCAGAACGATTTACATGCACCCCAAGTACCATATAGAAAAATTATCAGTTGGATAAATCGCGATTAAAATATATACATTTTATCCGATACAGAAAAAATTATGGTGGCAAAGGTAAAAAAAATGAAAACATTTTTCTAATTCTGGTATATCTATGAAATGATGAACCTAAGTTTAAGCAGAGCAAATAATTCGACGACTATACCGCGGTATATAATAATGTTACTGTATAAGTACGATATATACCAATACAATCGTCACACGTCGCCCATGGTTCATTGACGAGACCCAATCGGCGGACCAGGGCTTGAAACCGGTAACCGATTTTTCCCGGTAACCGGTTACCATGAGTACTTTTTGGACTGGTATCCGCTTCCCGGTTCTCGAGTTTCAATTTTGAGAAGCGGTTATCAATTACCGGTAATCACGGAATTTGATAAAGGGGGAAATCTATAACGGTAACCGTTTATTTTTAGAACCGGTTAATTAATCGGAAGTATACAAAACCGTAAATCTCAAACCAATTAACTTAAAAATAATTTTTTTTTAATTATATTGAATATTCTAAATAGAAGAAAATAATATTTATAAAATACTAAAATAGATTATTTTAGAACTACTAAGTATTAAAATTTAAAAATACCAAAACAAGCGTGTTTGATTGCGGAATCGTATCGGCGCACTAACAAAAGATTCTCAGTAGTCAGTACCTATGATATAGGTACGGAATACTGATACGAATGGTAGAAACATCGACGAATGCGGG